TATTATGCCATTCTATGTACCCTAACCAGTTATAGACCTACCCTCATTGCGAAATTTATATGTACTTTTTATTAATGATCACTGAACTATTTTCCGATTGTTTGATACATTAGAATTACAGCCAAAATTACCCAATTTGCATATTCATGTGAACAAATGAAATAATGTTGAAATTTGTGTAGAATCCTTAAGGTAGAGATGCAGTTTATTTGGCTTGGTTTTTAATTGAGTAATTAGACAATGCAGATGGTATTATATATCCAACATGTTATATATGTTCTAAAAGCTTATTATACAAACTTTGTAAAACTTGTCTTTGTTTTAAATATCCAGAATGCGTTTTTGATTTTGGGTCAAAAATATGTTTGTTTGGGGGGAAAAAGTGGTTTTAAAAAAAGTCCGTTTGTGGGTAAAATTACATCACTGGATGCCTTTGTATACTACTAATTCAAATGCGTCCACTCATCTCTCTAACGGCTTTCAAAGTCGCACAGCATGACCCCAAAGTTCATTCTTTTCTATATTTGAATAATTTATATATCTTTATTAATTGCGGACTTGTTATTTTTGTTCAACTCGCCGTAATAAACAGTCCGGACGCATTTTGAAGGGGGAGGACCTTGTCAATAATGTGTGAAAACTTAAAGGCAAATGGCCAAAGCGTCTATCAGCTATTTTATTTTAAAACCCAAGAATTCACCAAAACAGAAGACGAGAAAAAGGCTAATTTGCATATTTGCGCGTTAAACCGAAAATTACTGCTTTGTCATACTTCGTCAGACTTTCTAGACTATTGAAATTAAAAGTTAACGTATAGAAATAGACATTTGATGTAAAATCCTTGATCCAGAAAAACTGCTCTTGAATATATAAATCAGAAAGACGTCATTCGTACCAGTGTTTTGATGGGGGTCGGTAAAAACACGTGGCAATATGACGTCATCTGATGAATTATTTAACAGGGGGCGGTCCTAAGAAGGTGACCTTTTATCACGACCAAAACATCATGTCTTCTCTACCATGTATTTTCAATAAAAATCTACGAGTATTTCAGAGCCTATGGATTACCGTGAAGAATACAAAGTGGGATATTAAATTATTTATCCTCGACGATTTGTATGTAGTATTGAGAACCAACTCCAGGAAGCGAACGCACAATAATGAATAATCGCGTAACCCTAGAATCGAAACGCGAGGCACAGAAGTTTTGTTCAGCGTTGCCAATCCCATTTTTCCCACTGCAACATATTTGTTAAAAGAAATATTTGAATTTTGTTCGTTTTTTAAGAAGGCGATTTTTTTTCCGATTTCGGTACGCACTATTCAGAGATTT